TTTTTTTTTTTTTTTAAAGATGACCGGTAAGGGGATCTTAACCCTTGACTTGGTGTTGTCAGCACCACGCTCAGCCAGTGAGCGAACCGGCCATCCCTATATGAGATCCGAACCCGGGGCCTTGGTGTTATCAGCACCGAACTCTACCGAGTGAGCCACAGGCCGGCCCAGATAGTTTTAATAAGAGAAGAAACTAAGAAACCACTTAAAATGAAGTGTTTCACCGGCATACTATAACGTCTTCTTTTCTTGGTCATTACAAATAATACTATATCTATGTATTCATTTGTAGGGAAAGTGAAGATAAATGGTCAGGGTCCCTTGGGGGTTCGGAATCTTGCCCAGCATTTTATGTAAATATGCACGTGTGCTCAGGTGTTCCTTGGCTATTGTCTGATGTAAATGCGCTTGAGCACCCAGGTGTCCTGCGTTGTGGACTTAAGTATAAAGGACGAGTGGCTCTGATCTCTAGGGCCTCCCACCCCCATAGTGCCCTCAAGGGGGTCATGGGGAGGCTGTTGCTGCCAGCGCCCCCAGGATGCCCGAGAGGCCACCGCCACTGCTGCTACTGCTGAGGACTGAGCTTGTGTTGTCAGCCAGTGGCTCCCAGGACCTTTCCTAAACACCTAGCATGGACCTGCGTGTGAGGGGTCTGGTGACCCAGTCTGTACAATGGGTTTAAAGGGTCTGAGCCCTAGCCCTGACAATACAAATGGAAATAGTATAACTAAAAGGTGACCCAGTCTGTACAATGGGTTTAAAGGGTCTGAGCCCTAGCCCTGACAATACAAATGGAAATAGTATAACTAAAAGAATGAAACGTTTTGGCTTTAGTTATGAAATGCCTAGCTATAGAATTTGCTTAGCTCTTGCTTCAACCCGACAACCAGCATAGTCATGTAGCTTTACAGCAATTCATAGTTAAAGCCAAAATATTTCATTATTTTAGTTATGCTAAGTTTTCCATTTGTATTGTCAGGGCCCACAGATCCTTCAAACCTGTTGTACAGACTGGGTCATAGACCCTTCACATGCCAGGCTTATCTTATAAAATGAATTATCACAGATGACAACACAACTTCCACAATTACATATTTCTCAGATGATCTCTTCATATTTTGTACATTCCATTTTTCTTCCTATTCGAGATAACAGTAATTCCACATGGTATAATATTTACTTATCAACCAAACTTTTTTTTTTTGGCAGCTGGTCAGCATGGGGATTTGAACCCTTGACTTTGGTGTTACCAGCACCATGCTCTAACCAACTGAGCTAATGGGCCAGCCTCCCCAAATTTTAAAAAAAGCTTGGAGAGGCATTCTTGCTGTGGGAAATATTTAGTACCCTTTCTGTTTTCACCCCAATTCTTCCCTATTCCTTTAACTGAATCAGGTATAGTACCTTTAAGATATTCAAATTGTAGTCTAGCCCATCCAACAGGGCTAGACCATCCCCCATCTCCCTCCAAATCATAGGGCTAATCGTCTTTAGAACATTTCCTTAAAAAAAATCTGTCAGTCTTCAACAAATTGCAGGGAGAGTGCTCTCACTCTAACACTGTAAGTGATAAGCAAGCAGATTTAAATAGTTATTCTATCAATGGCTGCTAAACTCAATGTTAGCTTTCTAAGAAAACATTTCAAAAACAACAATGATGTCCCTTAGCATTCAGCCATGTCTGCAACTACACAGGAGAAAACTGACATAGATGTCAGGAAGATGGCCCTAAAGGCTAAACAATAATTTTATTATTTGTAAATAACAATTTGATAGACAAAATCAGAGTAAAGATATATTTAAAAAACATTAAGCTAGGGCCGGCCCGTGGGTCACTCGGGAGAGTGTGGTGCTGATAACACCAAGGCCCCGGGTTCGGATCCCATATAGGGATGGTCGGTTGGCTCGCTGGCTGAGCGTGGTGCTGACAACACCAAGTCAAGGGTTAAGATCCCCTTACCGGTCATCTTTAAAAAAAAAACAACATTAAGCTAGTTTATTTATTTATTTTTATTTTTTGTCTTTTTTTGTGACCGGTAAGGGGATTACAACCCCTGGCTTGGTGTCGCCCGCACCGTGCTCAGCTAGTGAGCGCACCGGCCATCCCCACACAGGATCCGAACCAGCGGTGGGAGCGCTGCTGCTCACCCAAGCGCCGCACTCTCCCAAGTGCTCCACAGGGCCGGCCCTTAAGCTAGTTTTTAAAGTAAAGTTAATACATACTTAAGCTTTAAAAAAAAACAAACAAACACCTAAACCTTCAGTTACATTCCCCAGAGGTAACTGTTAACACTTGGCACAGTCTTTGGAATTCCATTTCTAACTGGTAAGAAATGGAACTATATTTTCTATTTTAAAGTATACGTAACTATAGGGAAAATGAAAAGTAAATGTTCAGGATCCCACAGGGGGCAGATGGGGTGGGGGTTCGGAATCTTGCCAAGTATTTGATGTAAATAACTGTGCACGTGGACCCAGGTATTCCTTGGCTATCGTCTGTGGATGCGTGTGGGCACCCAGGTGTTCCTGGGTTATTGGACTTAAGTATAAATGATGAACAGCTCTGATACACAGTGCCCTTGGGATGCCCCAGGAGGCCATTAGAGTGGCTGCTGCTAGCTACTTGAGCTTGCATCTGAATAAAGCCTATTAACTTTTACCCATGGCTTCAGGATCTTTTTCCTATTACCTAGCTCGTGGACCTGTGGTGAGGGGTTTGTGACCCAGTGTGTACAACAGGTTTGTAGGGTCTGTGGGCCCAAGCCCTCGCAATATACTAAGACTGTTAGATGAAGAAAACATGTATGATGTCAGTGTGCTTCATTTTCATTTTTAGGACATAATAACTATGAAATGCTGCAAAACATCCTTAGAACTTGGAATTGGTGATTTAGGAACATATGGATAATCCTCCTTGAATGTCTTATACGTTTTAAAATATTCTCTGGAAAGACCATCTTTTTCCATCTCTTGTGGAGGTCTCTTATTCCTGGAATCATATTAAGTAAAACACTGAAAAGTTGGAACATAGGTAGACTGCTTTGATTTAGAATGCCCATTTATTTCATTAGGATCACTGTGTTGTGCTGTGTGCAGAGTAGGTTTACTTTGGAGGACTCTCACACTTCTCTACCCCCTTGTAGACCTGAATGAGGTCTCTGCTCTGCACCAAATCAACACAGGCTTGCAACTCAAACTCAGTCATGAACAAAAAGAAAGAAAATAACCCTTATTTAAAGCATAAGGTAGAGGCCGGCCTGTGGCTCACTCGGTAGAGTGCAGTGCTGATAACACCAAGGCCACGGGTTCGGATCCTATATAGGGATGGCCGGTTTGCTCACTGGCTGAGCGTGGTGCTGACAACACCAAGCCAAGGGTTGAGATCCCCTTACCGGTCATCTTTAAAAAAAATAAAAAAATAAAAAAAAATAAAGCATAAGGTAGCTAGGTCAGGGCTTCTCAAACTTTACTGTGCACATGAATCATCCAGGGATCTTGCAGATTCTGATTCACTGCATTGCTTCACCTCTTTTCTTGCCTTCTGCTTGCATCTCTCCTATAGTGTCAGCACTTTCATTTTTGCCTAGGCTCTGCCTTCTAGAAGTCCTGGGCTAAGGATCCTTTCCTTTTTCCTAACATCCTTCCTGATATTCTGTGGCCTGCTACTAGAACTTGTGTCTTATGGCCTGTTTCAAACTTTTGGAGTCAGTACTTAACACCCATTTTAGACTTCTCTCCAAACCTAAGACCTTTAGCTTTGAGATATCTTCACAGCTAGCCCATCTAAACCTATCCCCACCTGGCCCTTTCTGTCACAGAGAGTAAGATAAAGATACAGGAGTGGAAAGATCCTTGCATTAAGTAACAGAATCTTGATATTCAAAGTGCCATCTGTGGTCCAGCAGCATCAGTATCACCTCGGAGGTTGTTAAAATGTAAACTCCTCAATGCCACTACAGCTTGCTGAGTCAGAATCTACACTTGAACAAGACCCTCAGGTGATTAAAGCACACTGATTAAAGTTGGAGAATCCCTGATATGGGGGTGCTTTTAGTACAAGCAACGGAAAACCGAACTCAAACTAACTTACATAACAAAGGGAAATTGATTCATGTAATTGAGAAATCTAGAATGAGTTTTAAGTGTGATCTGATCCAGTTCTGAGGTTATCAAGGTTCTGGAACTAATTCTTTTTGCTTATCTGAACCCCCTTCCCCGCAGCCTACCCACTTAAAATTATTTTATGTTAATGAAAATGATAGAAAAATATAGAATTTGTTTTAATAAGGGTTCAAACAAAAACATTATGATCAGAATGCTCTTTGGTCTGTGAACAAAATTTTGAAATAATTATCCCTTAAAATTGAGACCCTTGGTTGCTGGTAAAATAAAAGTTGGACTCAATTTTGTTTAAACTAAACAATAAGGAAATTTGTTCTCTCTAACATAAAAAAGGCCAGAGGTAGGGCTGGCTCCAAAAATGACATGTCAGGGTTCCTCTTCTCTGCAGTTCACTGGGCTCTATTCGACTCCCCCAATTGACTCCATCTTCACTCTGGTAGATGAAGCCTAGTCTGACGTCGATGGCTGAAGTTCCAGGACTCATATCCAGACCTCAAGATATCTAAAGGCTGAAAGGGAACATCTTTTCCCATGTCTCCTTTTTTTTTTTAGGAATAGAGAAATCTTTCCCAGAAATACCATAGCAGAAGTTTCCTTACAACCCATTGGCCAGAATTGAGTTTTGTATCATGACAGATCTCCAGTTGCTTCTGAATACCCATTTTCCCCACCTTCTTTAGTAATATTTTCCTGATTTTTATCTGGGCACATTGCTGGCCAAATATACTTCCTTGCCTCCCTTGAAGTTATATTTGGCTACAAGACTAAATTCTGGTCAATAAAAGTAGAAATGTTGTGTAAAACTTTTGGGAAGTATCCTTAGGAAGAGAACAGGCACTTTTATCCCTCTCCTTCCATTCTGATTTCTGACTGCAGACATGATGGTTCAAGCTTTTGCAGTCATCTTGATTCACGAGGAAAAGGGGGGCACTCACGGTCTGGTAGAGCAAAAAGCTGGAAGGAGCCTAGGTCTCCTGGTGACTTCAGGGACCTGCCCTATGTACTTTGGACTGCCTACCTTCAGATGGGTGAGAAGCTGAAACCTTGTGTGTTAATGGTTAATTTGGATTTTCATTAACTTCTGGTGAACCTAATTCTAACTGATGCATGTGCCTATATTACCTGACTGGGGACAAATGGATTTTGGGGAGTCATAATGACAACCACATTAAATAATTATTTCTTTAAAAATATATTAAATATTTCTACTAAAAATAAATTACCAAAGGAAAGCAGAATTCTCAATATCTGTATAAGAAGCCACTTCACTGTAAGTTCTGTAGCATCTTTGTTACAAAACAAATTATCTCCTGGAAAGTGCAGAGGAAGCTTATTATGTGCCATTTAGATTCTAATGTTTTTTTTGGTAATTTCTATTAATTTCAAGAAAAAAAATTGTCCTTTTAAAGGAGTAGCCCACAAAATGTGAGGTTTGTTTTTCAGTTGATTCACTTTAATTTCAACACATGAGTTTATTAATAAGAATGTTCTTTTAGCACATTCATTGTTCCACTGAATGTAAGTTTCAAAACTAATATCTTTAGTCTTTTCCTTAGATACCTTAAAGTTTAACTTTTGGATTAGATTTTTTAAAATAGGCCATTCTCTAACTCCTTCAAAATCAAATTCTTATTTTCTCACTTCCAGGAGCTCTTTCTTGGTCAGGAGAGTGGAGAGGAACTTTTCGTATTAACATCTGTTAAATAAACTATTTTCCATATACAAATGGTTCACTCAACCCACATTTCCAATTCTTTCAGCTTTCTTCATATCAAAAAACTCGAGATGAAATTACAAAGAACCTAAGTTGTTTTTGAGAAAACTATAAGATTCAAGCTTTGTGATTTCTCACAGTGGTCCCAGAATTCCAGTCCAATCATGGTGTGGTATTTGAATAACTAGAAATCCTCAGGTTGAAAGGTAATTTAAGAGTCCTTTAAACAGAGGAGGGGGATAAGGGAGGAATTGATAAAGGGCCACGAAAAATGATCACATTGTATAATGTTAAATATACTAATTATCCTGATTTGAGCATCACATTGCACACAAGTAATGATATTCAACTCTATTCCACACATATGTAGTCAACTATGTTAAAATAAAGCTATTGTCACATTAAAAAAAAAAAGTCCTCTAATTCAGTCTGCTGGATTTAATCAATGTAAACACCAGTAGCAGGAGGCTACAACGTGGTTGTTAACTAGCTTTGCTACTTTAGACCAGACACCCTTTTGAGCCTCAGTGTCCTCATCTGTAAAATAAAGTCCTTGATTATAATATCTTTAAGCCTCTAAGCCTATGCTATGCTCTGATTTTAAGGAAGGTGATGGTTTATTCTTAAAATCCCCAAGAACAAAATATTTCTACTTCATCCAAAAGCCACTTTCCAGTGCTTAATGATTCTATAAGGCAGCTTTTTATTTTTTGTTGACTGGCTGGTATGGAGATCTGAACCTTGACCTTGGTGTTATCAGCACCAGTCTCTAACCAAATGAGCAACAAGCCAGGCCTTGAGCTTTTCAAATAAAAAAGATATGACAGTCTCCGGTTCTGTCTTCTCTAGAGTTGAAGGTTAATCCATCAGCATTCTTTTTATTAACACTTCACCAGTCTTTTTCTAATCTTTAAAGTTTAGTCACTCATACAACACCTTCTTGATTTTAGCCACATCATTCTGCTATCTTGGTTAGTATTTCTCACCTTCTCTATGTTGATTTTTTTTTAACTTAAATTTATTTTGAAGAGCGTTTTTGTATCCCCACTGCTTGACTATAAAATCAGTCCTGCTTAGCAAAAATAGAAGTTAACTGCAAAAATAGAAACAATAGAAACTTTAGTGAATTTTAAAAATAGGCAAGTAGGACTTTTCTGTATGACAAAGCCAACAAGCTTCATTTGATATGAAATTTGTTGTAGTAGCTCCTCATGGTTTTTGTGGCCTCCTTTTTATTCAGTGACAATATTAGCAGTTTTATTAGGCATTTCTCTTAAATCTTCATGCACTTTACAGGTGAGTGGACTTTATGTATATAATAGTGACTAGTGGAGTTCTACCAGAAATCATCCACTATTTCATTTGGAGAAACACATCTCTAGGGCAAAAATCAGGACTTTCTTTTACATTTATTTAACTTTTAAACCTTAACAAGCCTAAGAATCACCTGAGGCACTGGTTAAAATGCTCATTTCTCACCTAGGTCTAGACTAGAGCCCAGGAGTCGCATTGTTAAGACAGTACCCCAGATGTCTTCAGTGCAGATAGTCTTCAGACCCTATCTTTGAGAAACACGTGAAAGTGTTTTTTAGTCTATTACGTATTCGCTCACTCACCAATAACTTGAGCACCTTCCAGTGTGTTGTTAGTCCCTGGTGGGAGGCAAAGAGGGAGAGGGAACAACACTCAAGGTTCAATTTTCATGTCTCCACCCTCGTCAAATGAGGTGTACTAACAATGCCCCTCTCGGAGTTCAGGGTTGGGAAAGTCCTTATGGGCTGCGTTGTGAGAAGGTTCTGTGAAGCTAGGCTGGAAGGACTGGAGACTTTTCCAGGAGGAAGGAGAGTGGAGTTAGAGAGGTTCTGGAAGCCAGGTCAGCCTGGAGTTGAAGTGCTAGGTGAAAAGGCTTGACGGGTCCGGTAAATAATAGGGACCTTATTCTGGGGCAGTGAGCAGTTACTCAAGGTCTTCTGCATAGAGACATGCAGATAGCGAGTAATAATAACCTGGCGTCCGTGTTCGCAATGGATTGGAACTGGTGGCGCCAAAGGCACAGCGACCTTATTGATAAGCTTAAACGTTGCGAGCCCGAACGAAGCGAAAGCAAGGAGTGAAACACTGGATTTACTTGTAGGGAGGAGGAAGGGGGTGGGAAGGCGCCCAAGATGACAGGTGCCCCTGGAAGAAAGAGAGCACCTTTTAAAGACAAATCTCCGCAGAGGGAATCCTGGAACCGGTGTAGGGAGCGAACAGGCAGAAGACCTGTTTGTGTTTAGCAGATTAACCCTTAAAGTAGCACCACTGTCTTCACGTGCTCCCAGCTGCTACTTATTACCTGAGCACTAAACCCCCCCCTCCCCACTGGGTCAAATAGGCCTCAGACGCTACCCAGATCTACCGCTGTGGTGACCTTGCCCCTCCTCAGGCGACCCAGTTCTGTGTAGCCAAGTGGTTTCCAACCTGTGCTGCACAGTAGCATCATCCGAGGACAAAGGAAAAAGTGCCCACCCTCCACGTCTACCGTGCAGCAATGGCATTGCTCCACCATAGCCCCAGAGCCCTTAAAAAAAAAAAAAACCCTCCGTCCGCCACCCCGAGGGGCATGCTGAGGGCGGCGGGCCGGGGCGGAACGGTCCCCTGGCCCCCGCGCAGCCCCTCCGTGGCGGCTCGGGGCTGCGCTGAGGGGCGGGGGCCGGGAGGAGGCGGTGCTCGGGGCTCCTCAGCCTGGCCGCAGCGGAACCGAAAGCGGCGGCCGGCCGGGGGAGGCGGGGAGAGGAAGGAGGGGGCGGGCGCAGGGGAGAGAAGGGCCAAGAGGCGACCGGGGGCCGGGCATGCCCGCGAGTGCCCGCGGCGCGGGGCCCCAGAGCCGCCGGTGGCCGCGTCCCAGCGATGGCTCTCCGGCTGGGCGCAGACTTCGACCTCCGGAAGGACGGGCT